GCTGCCATGGTCAGGGACACCTCCCACTAGAGCCGGTTGCTCCAAGCCCCATCCAACCTGGCCTTGAACACTTCCAGGGTTGGGACATCACTGTCCACTCACTAAGGCCTGTCTCACCCTGGGTGTTACTGGGGCCATGAGTGAGGTTTCTGCTCCAGGGTGGTAGCAACTCATCCTCAGGTACTTCAAGGCTTGTTTTGGATTCTCTTCTATACCTGGCCATTCTTCACCTATGGAAGGGGAAGTCTTCTACATCTTGGGGACTGAACACACGGGAAGAAGATGAGGAGGAGCTCAGGATGTTGGCTGAGCTTTGGAGTGAGCTGAAATGTTGATTGTCCTCGGCCAAACTCTATGGTGTGAGGTGGTGGCAACGGTGGTGGGAAGAACCTCCTGGGTAATGACATGTCGGTGGATGGGTTGGGAGCGGTGAGGTTGAACCAGGTGGATGGAGCATATCTTCATGGTGGAGAGGAATTAATAGTGTGTGAGCAACAGGAAGCAAAGAAGGTGGAAGGACAAGAGTGAGAAAGAGCTGGAGTCAGAGGGGGAGTTGTCCCCAGGGGTGACCCCAGCTGTGGCACTGCCAATGGGATTGCACTGGGACCCACTGGGGGTGTTAATTCTCTCCAGGTGAAGATATTGAGCCTTTGGAGGGTAGGGGTGGGTTCACTGTTTCTCCAAATGTAGGCAGGGGTGGAAGGGACCGATTCTTCTGAAGCTTGGTAGAAAAAGCAAGGAGGAACATGGATATGGATCTACTGGGGAGAGGGTGGGAGCCAACCCCAGAAACGGGGGGGCAGGTTGAGTGTCACAAGTTTCAAGATAAGAGGAGCAGAATTAACTAAAAAAGTTGTCTTCCACGTCATTTTTGGAAACTAGTGATGAACAGCAGAGCTTGGCTTTGGTTCCGGTGGCCTGTGCAGGACATGATTTGTATTAATGTGGTCATCAAAATGTTGTGGGTTTGTGTTTTTTTTTCTGGTTATTTTCTCGTCCCAGTTATTTCTAGTCTTCGTGATTATTATCTTAAGGAGATACTATCAATTTAAATATCGTAAGTCTATTTGATTTTTGTCCTCGCTTCCTCCCACTATTTAGTAAACAGATTAGAAGAAAAGGAAACACAGATGCTTTATTTTTAATTTTTTTTTAATTATTTCCTTGCTCATTTGACAGCGTTTCATTGCGACAATCAGGTTCGTCGCTTCTCCCACGTAGTTGGCAGGTTTTCTCCTCTTATTTCTCCTGGTCTTCCCTCTTAAGGAAGGAGAAACAACTTGAAAGACCACTAAAATCCCATTAAAGAGCAGCAAGAAGTTAATTGAGGATCTTTGGATTGAACTCAAAAGAACACTAAAATCTCATTAAAGAGCAGCAGAAGTTAATTGAGGATCTTTGGATTGAACTGAAAAACCGGAGCTTCTTTTGGCTCGGTTTTGGAAAGATGCACTAGATAGAAAGTTCATCGTGTCCCGTTAAGTAGCTGTTGGCCAAGACGCAGAATGGGTCTAGGTCAGGGCTTTGATGTTGTTACTGGAGGCAGCGTGTGGCTTGGACTTCAGACAGGAATTTAGGCCAGTAACTGAGGATGCTGGGAAGAAGAAACAGGAAAGAAAAAAAAAAATGGGGATGAAGTTTAATTTTTCTAAATTTACGCCTTTTGTAACCGGTTTTGCAAAGCTCAGAGCATCTTCCTCACCTTGGCATTGGGTTGGCTTCTGCCACCTTCCTGGACCAGCATCTCTCCCTGGTTTTCAAACCCACCCTCTGCTGAAATTTGAGGAAAAACTCCTGTGGATTTCAAAAGGAACCCAGCTGGAAGAGTCGTGCACGTGCTTCGCTGCGCTCCTTGTGCGTGTCCTACTGAGCGGTGCCCCCGGCGGGTGAACCTAAACTTTTGGGTCAGAGTTCTTGGGATGAGGATGCTGGAGACGTCGTCTTCTAGGCCGGGAGGAAGCTTTGCAGACACAACTTAGAGGAGAGCTAATTTGTCCCGCTTTGCTTACAGGAATCATTAAGGCAAATATGTAACAGTGTGTAAATGAGTTGCTTCTTTTGGGAAGGGACCCTTGATCAGAGAGGGGAGCCACAGGACAAGGGGGAAGGGTTTTAAACTGAAGAGATTGAGATGAGAAGACATTCTTCACTGTGAGGGTGATGAGAGCCTGGCCCAGGTTGCCCAGAGAAGCTGTGGCTGCCCCATCCCTGGAGGGGTTCAAGGCCAGGTTGGAGGGGGCTTGGAGCAACCTGGTCTGGTGGGAGGTGTCCCTGCCCAGGGCAGGGGGTTGGAACTGGATGATCTTCAAGGTCCCTTCCAACCCAAACTATTCCACAATTCTTTCCTCAGAATAGACGTTCTACTGTAAAAGCCTTTAGGAGCCTTCTTTTTTTCCCCTTTTAATTTTCAGTTTCCTTCACCTTCTGGCATGTTTTATGGGGATGGGGGTGTAGACCATCTTAGATCAGGCTGAATAAGTAGAAGACCAAGTTGGATGGGGCTTTGAGCAACCTGGTCTGGTGGGAGGTGTCCATGCCCACGGCCGGAGGGTGGGAACTTGATGATCTTTTAAGTTCCTCTCCAACCTAAGCCAATTTATGATTTTATGAAGCTCTTCAGCTGTTTTTCTGTGCGTGAAAACTGCTTGGAAGAGAAGATCAGGCACGGTGTGCGTGCTGAGCAGTTCTCCAAGGTCAAGACATAGAATCACAGAATCACAGAATCTTCTAGGTTGGAAGGGACCTTAAAGATCATCTTGTCCAACCGTCAACCTCACTGACAAAAATAGTCACCCACACAACAAACAAGGAGCATCATCACTAAACCATCCCTCCCAGCACTACATCAACCCGTCTTTTGAACACCTCTAGGGATGGGTCCTCAACCACCTCCCTGGGCAGCCCATTCCAATGGCTGATGACCCTTTCAGTGAAAAAATGTTTCCTAATATCCAGCCTGAACCTCCCCTGGCGCAACTTGAGGCCATTTCCTCTCGTCCTGTCGCCTGTGACTTGAGAGAAGAGACCGACCCCCACCTCTCTACACCCTCCTTTCAGGGAGTTGGAGAGAGCAAGAAGGTCTCCCCTCAGCCTCCTCTTCTCCAGGCTGAATACCCCCAGTTCCCTCAGCCTCTCCTCATAAGACTTATTCTCCAGACCCCTCACCATCTTTGTTGCCCTTCTCTGGACCCGCTCCAGCACCTCAATGTCTTTTTTATGGTAGGGGGCCCAAAACTGGACACAGTACTCAAGGTGAGGCCTCACCAGTGCCCAGTACAGGGGGACAATCACCTCTCAGGGCCTACTCGCCACGCTGTTCCTGATCCTCTGGGGTTTGTCTCCGTCGCTGGCTTGGGGAGCGCACTTAAGGCAAAGCTGCTCGCCTTGTCGCGCTCTCGGTTGGTTGGGTTGTGTTTGACTTGAGCTATTTGGACGTTAAGGCCATCGGGGAGGGATTGCCAGGTCACGGGGTGGGGGAGAGTCCTCCTGCTCTCCCTCCCGGCCTTCCCTGGTTTGCGCTCTGCTGATCAGAGCGGGGCAGGTTAGTGATGACTATCACGTGGGTTCGTGTTCCTCGATGAGCAAGTCAAGGCTAATGAACCCTTTGTAGAGCGAGCGGCGACTTCTCTGAATAGCCTTAGTCATCCGGAAACCGGCCAAATCCAACCCTTGTGAAGTTGAAAGAGAAATTCCAAGCTTTATTAGCCAACTTGATGGATTTTTTGAGATCATCTGTCGCCGGGAGTTCCCTCCGTGGCAGGGCACGAATGGTACAAAATCCAGCTTTTTCCATGGGTGTTTCTGTAACGGGGTATTCAAAGACCCCGCCGCGTTTGGCTGCTTCACAGACAAATCTGCAGAGCTGAGGATCTTCTTCTCATCAACATCTGCAGATTTTTTATGGCAGGGGAGTAAGGTTTCTTTCCGCGTCCTCGCTTAGCTCCAGCGAAGCTGAACGCGGCCTTTCTCTTCCCAATTTGGGAGGATACATCTGTTTTCAGCCAAAGCCAGGATACGGGAAGCCATATGGAGAGGAGGAAAAAGATCAACCAGATCTGCCTGAAGGTTTTGGTCCAAGTCTTGTGTCATCTCCTACTTTGTCTGAGCTGCTGCTTTGCCTGTCGGCAGTAATTAGGACAGCTGGCTGGGAGAGGTGGCCAGGATTTTGAGTGGTTCCTTTTCCTCCTTTTTTTCAATCTTATTCCGAGTCACGTCGGAAGAAAAGGATTCTGAAGGTTTGTGGTTGGACTCGATGATCTCAAAGGTCCCTTCCGACCATGAGGATTCTGGGATTCTGTTTGTGGCTTCTTTATAGGGTTTGCCATAAACATCCCCAAAACTTTCTGAAACAGCTGCAAAACAAGTGAGAACATAAAGGGCAGAGAAAGGAAAAGGAAAAAAAGTAATCAAGCAATAAAAATAATCTGATTTTTGTTTTAAACTCGGGTCGGCGCCGGGTCAAGCTGCTTTACCCATCTCTTTGGGCATCTCCTGATGTTTCCACAGCACGGATTCCTGTTCGCTGCTGGGGGGCTGGATGGGATTCCTGAGGAAGGTGACGAGCTGTGTCATTTATGTCGGAATGTGGGCAGCCCAAGGGACTTAAAATTACCCCAAGGAGCAGGATCTTGGGTTTCTTGGATGGTGGTGGTCGATCTCTGGGTGACGTTGCTTTTGGGGGAACGGCTGGAAAAGCTTTACCTGGTGGAGCGGGGCCCCCAAGGAGCAGGATCTTGGGTTTCTTGGATGGTGGTGGTCGATCTCTGGGTGACGTTGCTTTTGGGGGAACGGCTGGAAAAGCTTTACCTGGTGGAGCGGGGCCACCTCGTTATTTGAGGATGGGAAGCCCACAAAGACCGTGCTGTCCTTGTCCCCAGAAGTTGTGGCTGGTCTTTCTCTTCCTGAACCCACAGCTGTTGTCTTGAGTTTATTCTGCCTAGAATTTTGTCTTTTGAGAAGTTTGGTCATTTTTAATTTTTTTTTAGGAATTTTTGGGAACTGTCTACACGAGACAGCCAACACCTCCTGCCTCAGGGAACTTCTGCTGACCCACCTCACAGCCGAAGGGGTGACGTGAGGCGACGAAACAGGGGGGAGAAGCAAACTCCAAACAGCCTTTGAGGTCAGCTTACCTTCAAAAACAGGGATGCTGGGGTGGACTTGGTGAAACTGCTCCATCGCCAGAGCTTGAGGGGGGGTGAGGAGGCTGTAAAAGCATTCCCTGTGCTGGGATCATTGTTCCTCCGGAGACACGGCCTGACCTTTGCTGGGGGCTGAATGGAGCGGCTGTGAAAAAGCCATCCTTGAATGCATCTGGAAGGGGGAGGGAGAGGGATGCCAGGGGGCTGGGAGCACAGGGGGGCAGCCCCACGGCAGGTCCTGCCTCAACTTTGCCTGGCAACAGATTTGGGGGGGGCCCATGGTGCAGGGGACCCTAAATTTTGACCCAAAATTCGTCAGAACCTTCAGAAAAATCATAGAATCATAGAATTGCCCAGGCCGGAAGGGACCTCCAAGGGTCATCTAGTCCAACCTCCCCGCAGTCAGCAGGGACACCCCCAACTAGACCAGGTTGCCCAGGGCCTTGTCGAGCCTCTCCTTGAATATCTCCAGGGATGGGGCCTCAACCACCTCCCTGGGCAACCTGTTCCAGTGCTCCACTACCCTCACAGTAAAGAACCCCCTTCTAATCTCCAATCTAAATCTGTTCCCCTCCAGCTTGAAGCCATTGCCCCTCGTCCTGTCACTACAGGCCTTTCTAAACAGGTTCTCCCCAGCCTTCCTGTAGGCTCCCTTCAGGTACTGGAAGGCTGCTATTAGGTCTCCCCAGAGCCTCCTCTTCTCCAGGCTGAACAACCCCAGCTCCCTCAGCCTGTCCTTGTAGCAGAGGTGCTCCATCCCCCTGATCATCCTTGTGGATGGGCCCTCCTCTTTGTTTTTTTCACATCCCTGATGCACAACCAGGCCCACAACTTGGGGTTGTGTGTTGATGTGCCAGGAGGTGTGATGTTGGCCACAAAACGGGCAGCAGCAAGAATTAACAAGTTTGGGAGCCCACATTTGCTGTGTGAAGGGCCAGGTGCCTGGAGGGGGGTGTCTTCTGTCTGTGGATGTGGGTTCCTGAGGGGGTTTTCCCTGCACAGGTTCCCAGTGCCTGCTGGTTGATGTGACCCTCATCCCAGGAGCTCGATATTGGGTTTGTATATGTCCATATATTTTATTATTTTCTTAGTAATATTATCAATTTTTCTTATTATTTTATTGGTATTTATTCATTAGTTTAGTTTTTTTTCATACTGTAAGTCTCTCTCTCTCTCTTCTCTAAAGAGAGCACCTGACATTTGTCATAGAACCATAGAATTGTCCAGGTTGGAAGGGACCTTTGAGATCATCGAGTCCAACCATCAACCCAACATTGACAAAACCCACCACTAGCCCATGTCCCTCAGCACCACATCTGCCCAGCTTTTAAATACCTCCAGGGATGGTGACTCCACCACTGCCCTGGGCAGCCTCTTCCAAGGCTTGACAACCCTTTCCATGAAGACATTTTTCCCAATATCCATCCTAAACCTCCCCTCTTTTCATACTGTAAGTCTCTCTTTCTCTCTCTTCTCTAAAGAGAGCATCTGTCATTTGTCATAGAACCATAGAATTGTCCAGGTTGGAAGGGACCTTTGAGATCATCGAGTCCAACCATCAACCCAACATTGACAAAACCCACCACTAGCCCATGTCCCTCAGCACCACATCTGCCCAGCTTTTAAATACCTCCAGGGATGGTGACTCCACCACTGCCCTGGGCAGCCTCTTCCAAGGCTTGACAACCCTTTCCATGAAGACATTTTTCCCAATATCCATCCTAAACCTCCCCTGGTGCAACTTGAGGCTGTTTCCTCTTGTCCCATCGCCTGTTCCTTGGGAGAAGAGACCGACCCCCCCTGGCTACACCCTCCTTTCAGGGAGTTGGAGAGAGCGAGAAGGTCTCCCCTCAGCCTCCTTTTCTCCAGGCTGAACACCCCCAGCTCCCTCAGATGCTCCTCAGAAGACCATTCTTGTTCCCCAGACCCCTCACCAGCTCCGTTGTCCTTCTCTGGACACACTCCAGCCCCTCAATGTCTTTTTTTTGTGGTGAGGGGCCCAAAACTGCACCCAGCCCTCAAGGTGGAACATCACCAGTGCCCAGTCCAGGGGGACCATCACTGCCCCAGTCCTGCTGGCCACACTCTTCCTGATAGTGGCCAGCCCAAACTATGACCATGTGAAAGAACTGCAGCCTGTTCCTCCTCTCCTGTGAGCTTTCCTTGCAGTCCAGCCACTGCTGGGCTTTTTTTGTAGGAAAAGGTTAAGGAAGTCATTTCATGTCAATCTTTCAGAGCGTGAAGGTATTTACTTTGTTTGCAAAGTCCTGCTGCTGCTGTTGGGCTGTTCCTCCTCTTCTGTGAGCTTGGTGGTCATCATCATCCTGAAGATGCTTGGCGGTCCTTGGGTGGAGGGAACAAGCCTACCTTGGGCAACAGACCTGTTCCTCCTCTCCTGTGAGCTTTCCTTGCAGTCCAGCCACTGCTGGGCTTTTTTTGTAGGAAAAGGTTAAGGAAGTCATTTCATGTCAATCTTTCAGAGCGTGAAGGTATTTACTTTGTTTGCAAAGTCCTGCTGCTGCTGTTGGACTTGTGCCACCCATTTGTGGCGGGGACATGCAAAGCCCGGAGAGGGTTTCTCCAGACCTCGATGGTGTGGCTGTTGGGAAAACTCAGCCAATGATCAGATTTGGGGAAGTTTTTTTAAAAGTATTCACCAGCTGGTGAACTATTCAAGTCAGGCAAAGGCAAAGCACTATTTTGGGAGCTGCCACACGTGAGGTGGCTTTGGGCCGTTCCTGAAGATGCTTGGTGGTCCTTGGATGGAGGGAACAAGCCTACCTTGGGCAACAGAGCCCGGAGAGGACGTGGAAAGAGGGTGCTGGATAAGGGCACCCACTTTGCCAGCACCTCCCTGGGTGCTGCTCCACCTTCCCCTCCTCTTTCTGCTGGTCTTGGTGACCTGCAGGACAGGGACACGATGGCCATAGGCTGTTCTGCCGACGCTTGTTGGTAGATCAATCGCAAGACTTCAGTGATTTTTACAAAGCCCTTTATTATTATTATTATTTTTGTCTTCAGGCTTATAAAAACTGTTACTCAAAAGCGAAACGTTTAAAACTTTACATATGTACAATATGAGAAATAAATTATGTTTTTGAAGTCATACAAAAACCACAATATACAAACAGGGCTTTGAAACCACTCTATAGTATGGCACGGTGACAAGTCACAGATACTTACCCAAGGCAAAAATATATATAATAAATCTCCACATGTGCTTGCTTTGGTTGGATCGAAGCTCTACAAGAACCCGGAGAACTGCAGGGCCTCAGAAGGACTTGAGAAGTCTTCAGAACTCAAAAATTCCATCTTTTGAGCTTGCCTTTCTGCTTGCCCAAAGTTCAAGAGTCGTTACACCGAGTCCCCTTCCAAAAAGGGGGGGAAAAGAAAACAACAAACCCAAAATATCTAGTTCACCTCTGACGAGGTCCACTCTGCTGCAAAAAGGACGGCCGTAGGGATTCTTTTCAACTTGGACCAAGCCAAGTTCATCTGGCACCAGGGAATCCAACCAGGATGTGGTGGCAATGAGGATTTTTGGCTCAGTTAAATACTTTGCTTGAAAATAAGGTTTGAATTACGCACCGGGACCACGACAGCATCTGAACAGAGGGAAAGGCCTTCTCAGTAGTTCAAAGGACTGGTGCAAAGCTCTCCAGAAGACACCACCCAGTTCATACCTTCCACCTCCCCGACACCTGGGGAGCGAGGAGGACACCATCACCTACACCGTGTTCTGCTCTAGGGCCAGGGAGGACAGAGCACTACCTTCTTCTAAGGTAAAACATGGAGATTTCGGTATCAGCCGGACACAGAACGGATTATTTAAGGCAAGCAAAGGACAACTTGAAGTTAAGTGACACTGTGCTTCTTCCCACCCCTCCCCTGAACAACCCCCCCACACTTGACCCACGCTGGTCTTGTCTTCCCACAGCCCACAGCGCTACTGGACCCACAGTAACTCCTACACTAGAGGCTAATTTGATCTTAGCAGCTCCGGCACCAAGAGTCTGGTGGTGGGTACGTTGGCACGGTTATCTTCTCAACTCCACTGAACGTTGGCACGGTTATCTTCTCAACTCCACTGGGCAGGAGGACCAGAAGATCATTGCTGAGGTCTAGATCTGTGAAGATCTCATCTGTAGTCCTGGTTAATGGAGGCCGGGCAGGAAACGCAGCGTTTAACAGGTCAAGGTAAGGTTAAATACACAAACCAGGCTCCTTGGGGAAGGGAGAACGTTGCTTTTAGTTATTCTACGTCTAGGACCACAGTCCAGCAGTTGCTCCTCGGTTTCTTCCATCTGATCCGAGATGTTTACTCCTGAGGAGCTGGTTGCTTTAAGTGCTACCAAGCCAGGTTTTTTTTTTTTGCCAGAGCATCTTGCCACCTGCGTGGTCTTCATGCATCTAGGTTTGCTCGGTTGTGCGTCTTCAGAGGAGTCTTCAGAGCAAATTTGAGACACGTCTGGAAAAAACAAGAGAGGAAAAAAATAAATCTAGTTAAATGCAGATGTTAAGAGGAGTAATAAAGGATTTTTAAGGAACTCTGGGACACAAAGAACAGGTTTAGACAGTGCAGGTTGGTATTTTATTTTGTCAAAGCAGCACTTTGCCCTGTAGCTACTCCAGAAGAGCCTGCAGCAGACATTATGCACACAAGTAAGAAGTTCCACCTAAACATGAGGAGGAACTTCTTTCCTGTGGGGGTGGCAGAGCCCTGGCAGAGGCTGCCCAGGGAGGTGGTGGAGTCTCCTTCTCTGGAGACATTCAAACCCCACCTGGACATGTTCCTGTGGGACCTGCTCTGGGTGGATCTGCTTTGGCAGGGGGTTGGACTAGATGATCTCCAGAGGTCCCTTCCCACCCCATATCATTCTGTGATTCTGTCTCTGAGTTGGAGATTGATCTTCCAGTGACTTGGCAGGAGCGGAGAGCTGAAGAGCAAGTCATTGCTCGTGATCTCTGGGAGGATGGAGCATTTCTTAGAAAACATAACACTTTAGAGCTCAGATCTGCTCCTCCACCTCCTGCAAAAGCCACACTCCAGGAAGAAAGAGGAAGGGCCCGTGTGCCAGTAATCCTGTTTTATGGAGGTCACCGAGCACATCAAACCTGCCTTTTATTGTACCTGCAGGAAGTGTTTACTTGATCTTTCACGGCTTGTGGCAGAGCAAACAAGTTTTTTTGGGGCTGGTTTTTCATTCACAGAATTGTTTGATACTCCGTGTAGCGCGGCTTGGTGGCTTCTGCCAACCCTGGAACGGAACCAGCTCACGTTCCTCAGCTGAAGAAGGTCGTGGAAAGCACGGCTTCCACGGGGCGTTGCTGGCCCTAACAGGCTTCTCGTCTCCGGCTGAGAAGCACCAAAGCTCCAAGTTTACAAATTGAAGTTTAAGAGAGGCCAAAAGGCTGGGCTTCATCTCGAGGAGATCCATCGTTTAAGTCAAAGGAGCAGGAGTTCATTCCAAACATGACTAGAGATGGTCTGAAGCAATCAAGCTGTCGCTGCTGGGACCAGACTGACTGGAAGTCACGCTCTGAGGACTGATGCTAAGTGGTTGGAAAGTCCCACAGAGGTTCAGAAGGGCTGAGGTCCTCCGGCAACGGAGCCAGAGGAGATGAGCACAGCCCAGAGATGAAGCAGTAGGAGTCACTACTGTAACACCGTGGTAAGTCCTCAGCTGTGTCTTGTTCATGTAGTTGAGCCCAAAGTCGATCAAGAGATCTCTTGGCATCTCAAGATCTTCCTTGGCAGCTCAAGACCTTCTACCAGGCCAAGACGACCTTTGAGGCAATCCCCTGCACTCCCAGCTCTCCTCTGTTTTACAGGGTGATTAATAGGTGCCTCTAATTAGCTCTCCACTGTTGCATGGACCCTTGGGTATTGGTAGCCCCTCATTTTTAGCATCTACCATGATAGCAAGAAGGTCCTCTAGGCCTAAGAATTATGTTTGGTCATGAAGGGACAAGGTGACAAACCAAGACCAGAAGTGAGGATAATATCATCATTAAGACATAGAGGAAAATTAAGGCTAATAGCTGGGGATTTTGGGCTAGAATTTATTATTTTTTTTAATAAGAAAAAGAGGTTCTAGGAGTGTAAACAATAAAAACCACCTGGTTCCACCTGCGTGCGTCAGGTGGGATTTCTCTCCTACCTTTTTTGCCAGTCCTCCGTGCACTTCACGAACCAGAGCTCTTTGCCAGGGACTATGCTGGTCAGCTGGGAGTCCTCCACGCAGAAAGCAAACCTAGGAGGAGGAATCAGAAGTCAAGAGAAGGTACCCTGTGGTCTCCACAATTATCAAACACAGCGTAATATGGGTTGGGGCTAATTCTAGGCCACGTTGGTTGATTTGACATCCTTCCTGTGGAGCATCATCTCGATACTAGGATGAAACTAGGATGCAGAACATCTTAACAGATGACAGGAGCTGCTTATTTAAAGCCCTGAGAAATGTGGGAAGTCATCAATATCAACCTGCTGTTCTTTGACGCATCTGGGTCACCTTCAGAACAACGTTACCACAAGATTTGGGAGCGTGGTGCGACACGCTGGGCAGCTTTCCTTCTCCTTGGTTTCTCAGGTGGCTTTCCAACCACAGAGACCTCAGAAGGAGCAATGTAACTCTTAAGGAGTTGGTGTCACCGTGTTACCAGTTGGAGTTTTAGGTCTACCTTGTGCCAAATCAGCACACTATGCCCATAAATAAGTCATGCCCATCTGTGCTTCGCTATTTTTGACACTATTGGTACTTGAAGCCTTCGAGTATGATCTAAACCATCTTGAAGTAGCTAATTTAGTCCCCGAGGACAGGCAAGACGGTGCCACAGCATCTAAATAAAGCAAAAGAACATCTCGGATCTGATGACTGGTTGAGTCACCGTCCCTGGATGTGTTTAAGGGACGTTTAGATGCAGTACTGAGGGACATGGTGTAGGGGAGGACTTTGTAGAGTAGGGTAGGTGGTTGGACTCGATGATCCCAAGGGTCTCTTCCAACCTCAATGATTCTATGATTCTATGATGACTAATTCTGCTTAAAGCCTGGTTTGTAACCTCACGCTGGTGAGTAGCCCCCTCTCCTACACCACGAGGGGAGTGTTCCTGGGGTGACGCTAAAAACTCAAGACAGTTGAGGACACCAAGTAAGATCAAAACCCCCAAATTTTCTTGCTATATTCTGAATATTTCTCCTTTTGATGGAAGTTTCGAGTCAGCTCACGTGCAGTTATTACCTCTGTTGTGTTTCTCCAGATTTCACTCGTATGCGTCTGATGTGCAGCTCCTGGGCGGACTTCGCCGGCCGGTACCAGTAGCTCTTCAGCTCTTTCCACAGATCGTACCACGACTGAGTTGTCCCCTCCCAGGTGAGCTTTATTTTTAAAAGTTCACCCATGTCCTCTTCCGTGTAGACCAGGAAGGTGTTGGTAGCGTTTAGGCCGATTTGATCAAGCCTGAAAGACAAGCAGAGACTCAACATTTCTTCCTGATGGAACCGTGCCAGATGCTCATTCATTCCAGGCAAGGAGCTAAAGAGCCCTTTGCAGCTTATCAGGTGCTCCAAGTTCAACTGTCACCAGCTAATTACTGATTACCCTAATGAAAGTGAGCTTGGCTAGCTGGTTCAATGCAATATGGAGTTGGCTCAGCCAGCCTTCCATAGCTTCAAGGGGAATTTTCATGCCTTGGGTTTCTTCTGGGAGAGGCTAAAGGAGGTCAGCGATGCCTCCAGAGATGTGGGTGTTTTCAGACCGTATCCAAATGGTAGAGGGGGGAAAGCAAAAGAAAGTACATCAACAATGAGCCATGAAGGTTAATGTGGAGGACAGGGCACATCAAATTGCTTTCTCAGCAATAAATTATAATTAAATTACTAGATTACAAGGGGTTTTGAATAGGGATGAAGCCAGGCTGCTAGGCTCAGGTGTGACGTTAGCGTCACCAGAGGAGAAAAGGGTAATGCCACCTTGTCTAGGCCTGGTGGCCTTCTTAGGGACAACCACCCAGCTTGCTTACGTTTCTAAGGCGAGAGGTTCAGAGTCTCCATTGGTGCCGTGAAGGGTGACGGCGAAAGTGGGATCGACCTCTCCCAGGCTCTTGTAGCTGAAGACGTGCATTTTCATCTGATAATGGTAGACTGGAGAGAAACAAAGAGAGCATTGATGGAACCAACTTGGTTGAGAGTCAACACTGCATCTGGTGGTGGAGTCTCCATCTCTGGAGACATTCTGAAAGCACCTGGACACGTTCCTGTGCAACATTTGGGCATGTGGATCACGTTCCTGTGATCCTTTCCCCGCCCTTACTGATTACAAAGCTGACTTTCATACAAAAACAGCAGCAGGTCCCCTCTGAGATGAGCTCCTCAAACATCCCACTGCTCTAAGGTTGGGGTGGTCTTGCAAGTAGGACATCTGTAAGCTGTAGTCCCACTCAAAAGGCAGAGTCCTCTTGATTTTACATAGAGGACAGAGCACGATAATGCCACAGGATGGCAATGCAGGTGGGTAACAGCAAAAAATTAATGCCTGGTGCAACACTGCTTTGATGTGATGCTGCTCTTCCACCTCTACATCTTTCCCAACATCGACTTTGGAATCTGCTCTTAGAGATCATTGAATCACAGAATGGTTTGGGTTGGAAGGGACCTTAAAGATCATCCCATTCCAACCCCCTGCCCTGGGCAGGGACACCTCCCACCAGACCAGGTTGCTCCAAGCCCCCTCCAACCTGGCCTTCAACCCCTCCAGGGATGGGGCAGCCACAGCTTCTCTGGGCAACCTGGGCCAGGCTCTCATCCCCCCCACACCAAAGAAGTTCTTCCCCACATCTCATCTCCATCTCCCCTCTTTCAGTGTCAAACCCTTCCCCCTCATCCTATGGCTCCCCTCCCTGATCCAGAGTCCATCCCCATCTCTCCTGGAGCCCCTTGAGGGGCTGGAAGGGGCTCTAAGGTCTCCCTGGAGCCTTCTCTTCTCCAGGCTGAACCCCCCCAACTCTCTCAGCCTGTCCTCACAGCAGAGGGGCTCCAGCCCCTCATTTTTTGGCCCTCCATTGGACCCGTTCCAACAGGTCCACATCCTTCCTGTGTTGAGGACTCCAGAGTTGGACACAGGACTCCGGGTGGGGTCACCTGAAAGAGACTGTGCTCTTTCGAAGGGGGATGTCATACCTTTGAAGGGCATGTACCTAAAAGAGACTGTGCTCTTTCAAAGGGGGATGTCATACCTTTGAAGGGCATGTCAGCTCTTGTCTTTAAGTACATCTTGCTGTTGCGTTTGTTGCGTGTTTTCCTGGCGTTGTAGCCGATGCCGTTGCAGCGGTTCTTCCGGCAGCTCAGGCAGATGCCCTTCTTGAAGCGACTGGAATCGGTGCATTGAAACGCGAAGCTCTGTTTGTCTTGGTTCACCAGGGAGTCCACGAAGAGGTGCACAGACCGCTCGTGTTCGCATTTGACAACTTCAGCAATGGCTGGAGGAGCAGAGTTGCAAGGGATACATTTTATTTAAGCATTTATCACCCCAGAGCTGGTAAGATACAGAATCGTAGAATGGTTTGGGTTGGAAGGGACCTTAAAGACCATCCCGTTCCAACCCCCCTGCCCTGGGCAGGGACACCTCCCACCAGACCGGGTTGCTCCAAGCCCCGTCCAACCTGGCCTTGAACCCCTCCAGGGATGGGGCAGCCACAGCTTCTTTGTAGCCCAATGTTAAGTTGAGCGTGGCCAAACTGAAACCATTTTGCAAGCAGTAGCAATTCAAGAGGTTAGTAGAAGACACTTGGAGAGGACCCTTCACTTAGTCTCTACCATGGAGAGAGCTTTAAAGAGGATTCTAGACCCAGCATAAGACCATAGTTTATGATCAGGTGTTAGAGTGAGAACGTGCTACTTCAGAATTCAAAGCAGGTCTACTTTCTACCAACTGTCTCCAGTTGTAGAGCCAGTTTAGAAGGAAAAAATAGGTTCTTTCTGCTCTTGTAAATCAGATCATCCTCCAGCATCAACACTAAGTCTATTTGGGAGGAAGCCACCTTGACCAGAGGCAAAATGAGTAACGAGAACTTACTCCCATAGGCAATTGCTCCCAAGACATCGCTTAATCCGCAGCCAGGCTGGAAGTCTCCCCCGTTGGGGTAGATGTCAACGTGGCCTACAGGCATCTGGATCCCAATGCTAAGCCCTAGCGTTTCCCTCGTGTAGGTGTGAAGGACGTCCACAAAGTTTGCGTCGTCGGGGGAGAGGCGCTTGCTGGGGTCCACTCCTTCAAACATAGGGCCGGCCGGATCCAAGCCTGGTGTTGGAGAGAAGTACACAAGATGCCAGGTAAGAAGTTGGGTTAGAACCCTCCCAACCAGGTTCTACATGGACAGTCCCTCCTTCATCACAGATACTGTCCCTCAAGCTCTCTTCACTGTGGGCTTCACTGAGGTGAAGGTGTCCCATACCACTTTTGGTGCCCAGTAGGAGCACCAGTTTGCTCTACAGGGGTGGCTTCAGATGGCCTGTTGGACACAATGAGTCCTTGCTAGGTGATGGTGGAGAGATAATTCAAGAGGTGGCAGGTGCCTGAACAGCAGAAGAGGTCTGGCACCCCACAGAGACTGTTGGTAGCCAAAGCAGCCCTGGCTACGCTTAGTCTGTTTTGAGATGGGCCATATGGAGGGACTTGAGCAACCTGCTCTAATGGGAGGTGTCCCTGCCCATGGCAGGGGGGTTGGAACTAGATGATCTTTGAGGTCCCTTCCAACCCAAACCATTCTATCTATGATTCTAATCCAAGGTAATCCCTGCATCCCGTGGTGGGTTTGGGACTTTCTCTGAGCCTCACCTCCAACCCAAAGCTGTGCCCTTGAGCCATCCCCAAACTTTGATTATTAGGTGATTTTTCCTGCTTGAGATATTTTTTGGGGAGGTTCTGAGGAACTCCTAGTGCCGGTGTCACATTTAAATGCTTAATGCAACCCCTTCTACCGTGCCCCACGTGTAACTTCAAAACTACTGAAGATCAGGTTGTCCTCTGAAAGGTTTTTTCATTGAACCTCCCCTACATTTGGGGTTCAAAATGAAGATACATTCTCACACGAAGAGCCCCCCGCTCCCCGCTGCCACCACAGGTAGGAAGCTCCTCGTTTCCACCTGAGCGAGCCCAAAACAACATGGAGGCACTGCAGGAAACGAGCCTTTTGGGGGAAACCCTCTACTTCTGGGGGAAGGTAAGAGATGACTTCAAAAAGCCACTTGCCTGTGATTCTGCCTATTGTCCCGTGGACGTGGTTACCAGCAAAGCCGGCGACGTGGGCGCCCAGGCTGTACCCGATGAGGTGGACATTCTCAAGCTGGAAGAGCGGGTTCTCCTGCAAGGAGGGGGAAAAAAAAAGAAAGATATAATTTGCCCCCATGACTTTTCCCCCCCCACCGACTTTCAGGGCGTCGTAGGACTCAAATCCAGTTCTAGGAAGAGGCTGGAGGGAGGGGGCAGACAAACATGCTTCGTTCTTTGCTTTCTCAAAAGTTGAAGGCTTTGGAGGCCACTGGTGGTTTGTCCCCAACCACAGTACCCAGCTTCCAACCCTAGTTATGATAGTCTTTGTTGAAGCAGCATCTGGAGCAGCCTTTCCCCAGGTTGACCTCAGTACTGGCCACGGACTCAAGTGGAGCCCCCTGGGCCTTTTCCTTCTCCTTTTCCACCTTCTTGACTTAGAAAGCCCACCTCCTAAGGTCACGTTGCTCAAGCAGGAGGAAGGACTCCTCAATTTGCTGTCTGATCACCGATCCCAGCGTGCTGCCAAGCAGCATCTCCCAGGAGAGCACCAGGGCTGAGCACAGAACCTTCTCTGAGCCATCCCACCACCTCCGTGAGCCATCACCCCACCGAGCCTGGGGTTACACCAGCGTTGGCTGGGGCTGGAGCTGGTGAACGTTCTACTTGTGCAACCATTCCTGGTGGAGGGTTACGACAGAGCCACGTTACCTGTAACCAGTCGAGCAGCCTCGCTATGCTTTTTCCAACAATCTGGGTGTTGTTGACGGCGTCGGTGTAGAGCTGGTGGGCAAGAGGAAGCCAATCCACCACCACCACGTTGGCGTCCTTCTCCCTCTCCTGAAGAGCGGCCACCAGGTTGTCCAGCCAGGTTTCGAACATGCCACTCATCTAAGAAGAAAAGAGATTCAGGTGGTGGTTTCCAGCTCCCGGGGACCGTGATCACCCTTTCGGAGTTAACTTATTTGCATAGCATTTACATATTGTCCTCCCATTTGGTGTCTGATCACCCATCCCAGCGTGCTGCCAAGCATCATCTCCCAGGAGAGCACCAGGGTTGAGCACAGAACCTTCTCTGAGCCATCCCACCACCTCCGTGAGCCATCACCCCACCGAGCCTGGGGTTACACCAGCGTTGGCTGGGGCTGGAGCTGGTGAACGTTCTACTTGTGCAACCATTCCTGGTGGAGGGTTACGACAGAGCCACGTTACCTGTAACCAGTCGAGCAGCCTCGCTATGCTTTTTCCAACAATCTGGGTGTTGTTGACGGCGTCGGTGTAGAGCTGGTGGGCAAGAGGAAGCCAATCCACCACCACCACGTTGGCGTCCTTCTCCCTCTCCTGAAGAGCGGCCACCAGGTTGTCCAGCCAGGTTTCGAACATGCCACTCATCTAAGAAGGAAAGAGATTCAGGTGGTGGTTTCCAGCTCCCGGGGACCAAGATCACCCCTTTCGGAGTTAAGTTATTTGCATAGCATTTACATATTGTCCTCCAGCTGTGTGCTTGCTCCTCTCCAAGCCCCGCAACTTCTCAGCCCTGCGCTAATGGTGTAAGAAAAACAGGTTTTGAGAGATTTGAGTAATTAACCACCTCGCCTTGTAAGGCAGGAGGGGGGAGGCATTCGTTAATTGCCACCTTATCGCTCGTTTTGCCAAAAGACCTTCAGAAATGTTGATGGGTGGCAAAATTATTTTCCAGACCTGGCACCACCGCTCTTTGCGTAAGCCCTGGCAGAGCTGATAAGTCCCCGGAAGGAGGACTTGGCCACATGGAAGGCGGGAGAAGAAGGCTTGATAAAGCCTCTCTTGCCCTCTGTTTCTTTATCGAGGAGACCACGTGGCAGAAGTGAAGACCATGGACACTTATGGAAAGTCCATACGTGTGTCAAGCCAAGGGCCACCTTCACAACGGTTGGTCAGATGAATTTTAGGGAAATTCAAGGTCCCTTTTCCACAGTGGTGGTGGATGGACACAGAATCATTTAGGGTGGAAAAGACCCTTAAGATCATCGAGTCCCACCAACGTGGACGTGAAATGATCTTGGGCAGGTGCAAAATGAGTCAGGTGATTTCACAACCCCATCGCACCACGCCAGGGACCTCAGGTGCAGCTGCCAAGAAGCTGCAGTTACTCAAAAGATAGAATTATAGAATCAGAGAGTCGTCTGGGTTGGAAGGGACCTTTCAGATCATCGAGTCCAACCATCAACCTCACTCTGATAAAACCCACCACTAACCCATGTCCCTCAGCACCACGTCTGCCCAGCTTTCAAATCCCCCCAGGGATGGTGACTCCACCACTGCCCTGGGCAGCCCATTCCAAGGCTTGACAACCCTTTCCATGAAGAAATTTTGCCCAATATCCATCCTAAACCTCTCCTGGTGCAACTCGAGGCCGTTTCCTCTTGTCCTATCACTTGTTATCCGGGAGAAGAGACCACGGCTACACCCTCCTTTCAGAGCGTTGGAGAGAGCGAGAAGGTCTCCCCTCAGCCTCCTTTTCTCCCTGCTGCCCTGGGAGCTGTCCCCCTCTCCCACCACCCCACGGAAGCAAGGACTTCTCCTTCTTCCACGGAGTTGTCCCAAATCCCACGCATTCTCCAGCCACAGCCCCTTTCCAGGGCAGGTCGCACGCTCTTAAGGAGACAACCCGAGCTCTTCAGCATCTCCTTCCACCCCTTACCGTCCAGCCGTGGATGATGAAGAAGCTTTTGGCCGTCACGTTGAACTTGCACTCCTCCAGACGCTTGTGGTGGCCGATGGCGAGCGGGCAACCCTCCTCTTCTTCTTCGCCGTCCCACCAGGAGCGGAGGTTGAACTTCACCTGCGACTTGGAGACCGGGACACGCTCCCTCTTCTCCTCCACCAGCTCGGGCTCGGTGGCATCTACCAAGCGGAGAAGAGGAAGGGTGAGCAAAGAAGACCTTCAGCCTCAGCTGGGAGAGGGGGACCCCGGCTCCGCGCACCCCCCGACCCGCGTGGAATCGCGCTCGCTCACCTTCTCCTCCTCCTCCTCCTCCTCTTCTTCCTCCCCCCGGAGCGCCTCCCGCCGCGATGCAACAGGTCACGCCGGTGCAGAGCAGGAGGACGAGCCTCCTCATCGCTCGGAAGGGACGGACGGGAGGACGGACGGACGGACGGAGGGACAAGCGGGACGTGAAGGGCGGTGGGGCCCGGCGGGCGTGCGGGGGCTCTTTAAGGGGCCCCGCGGGGGCGGGGCTTCGTGGCCCGATGGGGCGGGGTCAGGCGGAGGCGGCCCGAAGCGCCGCTCTCATTGGTCACGCCCTCCCTGACGTCACGGGGGAGATGAATGGGGAAGGGGGACGGCCCGTGGGAACGCGTGGGGGAAGGGGCTCCAGGAAAGCTGAGCCCCAAGTGGTGCTTCTGTCTCAGGAATCCTGCAGCCAGCAAAGGGAAAAGATTAAAAAAATTAATAAATTACTAACATTAATTACAAAATTACTAACACTCCCCTGTGTTTTTTTAAGTGGATCCTGGAGCTCCACTCCAGAGAGGAGTTTGGGGGGAATTTGTTTGATTTAGGGATTGTTTTAGAGCACATATCCTTATCCACATGCTTTTTTCTTCAAATCTGCAGGAAGGGGCAGTTGGTTGATTTAGGGATCGTTATAGAGTGCGTATCCTTCTCCACATGCTTTTTTCTTCAAATCTGCAGGAATATTTGGCCCGAGTGTGGAGTGGATGTTGAAGGACCATCAGTGAGACGTACTCAACGTTGGGGCTGCAGTCAGGAGGAGACTGTAAGAACTGGGAGAGTGGGCAGCAGCTCTCCTGCCTGCTTAGAGGGGTCTGTCTTTGGGCTCATTTCTGGTCATTAGCAGTTAAGGAAGGAGGGGAAGGATGTGGACCTGTTGGAATGTGTCCAGAGGAGACCATGGAGATGCTGGGAGGGCTGGAGCCCCTCTGCTGGGAGGACAGGCTGAGAGAGTTGGGGGGGTTCAGCCTGGAGAAGAGAAGGCTCTGGGGAGACCTTAGAGCCCCTTCCAGTCCCTCAAGGGGCTCCAGGAAAGCTGGGGAGGGACTCTGGATCAGGGAGGGGAGCCATAGGATGAGGGGGGAAGGTTTGACACTGAAAGAGGGGAGATGGAGATGAGATGTGGGGAAGAACTTCTTTGGTGTGAGGGTGGTGAGAGCCTGGCCCAGGTTGGCCAGAGAAGCTGTGGCTGCCCCATCCCTGGAGGGGTTCAAGGCCAGGTTGGAGGGGGCTTGGAGCAACCTGGTCTAGTTGAAGATGTCCCTGCCCAGGGCAGGGAGGTTGGAACTGGATGATCTTTAATGCCCTCGTAATTTCTGACTCTGCAGAAAATGCATGTTCTGGGAGCAGTTCAAGCCACTCCTGTTCCAGGAGGCTGGAGATGACACTCACTGCTTCTCCCCAGGGAGCGTGGCTTCGAGTGGGGCATCCCGATGTGCGGTCCCTCTCGAGGAGCAGTGGCCCCAAAAAAAACAATAGAAAGGCCAGATGTTTCTCAGCTGCTGGTCCATGACCAGACTTACTCCTACAGGAAATGAATCAGGGAAACCTCATCACCGAACGCTTCATCCTTTTCCCAAATTCCTGGTGCCAACAAACCCCTGCATCAAAATAATCCCTGGCTGCTTTGGTCAAAAGGTGACCATCATGGAATCATAGAAGGGTTTGGAAGGGACCTTAATGACCATCTTAATGACCCCTCTCCCCCCACCACGGGCATCATCCGGGGACATCCTCAGGACCTGTTGGTGATGGGCATCGTGTGGATGGAGGGGTTGTAGCTCTGCACTAACTTCTCTGCAACCCTCATGGCCTGGGGTGGGAGGGAAGAAGGCTCCCACCCAGAGCTGCTTGGAAAAGAGCAGTTCGTTAAGCCTAAGAACTTTAAGGAGAAATTCCTAGTTTTGCTTAGTTTTTCACCGGGAAAGAGTTCGTGGCTCCCGGATGGAATTTCTGGATATTGTGATAAGGAATAAATAAAAAAAGCAGGGTAAAATGGAGAATAATCCACCTTAAAAGAGCTGGAAGTTGGGGTTTGGAGCAACCTGGTCTGATGGGAGGTGTCCCTGCCCGTGGCAGGGGGGTGGAACTGGATGGTCTTGAAGGTCCCTTCCAACCCAAACCACTCTATGATTCCATGAAGCTCAATATTTACTGCAGTTTTAGGGATGCTGGAGGCTTCATTCCAGCAGAAGCCGGGGAGATACTGGTTCTTCTTGGAGGCATCTTTCTAGCTTTTTTTATTCTCTCCATCCCAGCTGTGATTTCCTAAAGATCTCAGTTCAGCCCCACGGCAGGACAGGAAGGGTTTTGAAATCATGAAGGTTTTATAAGAAATAGAAAAACATCCCACTTGGTTGTAGCCACGAGCTCTTTGCAGGTGGGTGCTGGGTGGTCCAAGCCAAGGTGGTTTCTTCTTGGGCACCAAACGTGGTGAGAGGGAGCAGAGCCATGAGGTGTGGAGGCAAAAAAGATGGGCGGGGAGTGAAGCTTCTTTCTTAACAGCAAGAAGCTCAAATCAGCCAAAATATGCCAAAAAAAATAGAGGCCTGGAGTCTGCTGGTGATCTCGGGGAGGGATTAGATGGGTTTTTCATGAGGAGCATTTCTTTGAGAGATTTCCATGTTGGTGCCTCCAACGAGAGCCTTTCAGTGCTGTTTCCACAGGAGCAGAACATCTCAGAACATTCTCAAGAACGGATGAACCACGCCGTCGAAGAGCTGAGCCTTGAGGGAAGAAGGAATGTCCTTCAGCATCTCGAGACCTCGTTGAAGTCCTACAGAGGTAGAATAATTGGGGTGTCAGCGGCTCTGGAGATGGGAAGGGAAATAAATTCCACCCCACGTTCTCCCAGGGATGATGCACCATGGAAATAGCAGGAGAGGGAGGATTTTGCCACCCAGGAGAGGGTACCACCACCTCGGTGAATGGCTGCAGGAGGGGTTTGTTAATTAAAAACCCCCTTTAGCCCATGGCTGAGGTGGCATCTCCTCGCCAGGAAGGCACGAGGGGAGCCCTTGGCTTGAGTGAACCTTCCTGATTGGGGGAAAAAGGGCAGATTCTGGGTTTGTGGGGTGCTTGTTACTGATGGCAACGGGCAGAACAGCAAGAGTTGAAGATGCTCCTCTGAAGGGTTGCTCCTCTGCACAAGCCACAGATGGATTTCGTTGCTTGAGGTCAGCAACTTTTGGTGGCTGGGAGCGATTAGCGCTGTTCTGTAAATTTTTTCTTCCACTTATAGAAACTTGAGAGTCTTTTACACACCCTCCATTCTTCCCAACAGCTTTTGCTCTTTTTTCCCCATTGCTTTTCTCCAGTGCAAGAGGGAGTAGGATTTGCAGGAGAGGAGGAGGAGGAGGAGGGGAGAGAGAAGAATTGTTCTCTTTTTTCCTTTTTTTTTTTTTTTTTTTTAAAACAGTTTTTCTTTGCAATTATAAAACACAGCCCAGGGGGTAGAATTTAACGGGATTGGTGTTAGTTTCCCTCTTGGCTCCCTTCTGCCTCCTTTGTTTCTGGGACGATGGGGGAGAAGGAGTAGGGATGGGGCAGGAGAACAAACTGGGAGAAGGAAGGGCCACTCAGATGCTGCACCGAAATGGGGTGAAGGCCACAAGAGGACCTCCATATTGGATGGATGAGCAGAGCTGATTGCACCACAAAGGGTCTGTGGTCCTGGAGAGGCAGCTCTGTGGGGAAATAACATCTCAGGTTAATCCTTGCATCACAGAATCACAGAATGCTATGGGGTTGGAAGGGACCTCTGGAGATCATCTCCTCCAACCCCCTGCCAAAGCAGGGCCACCCAGAGCAGGTCGCACAGGAACGTGTCCAGCAAGGGATTGAATGTCTGCAGAGAAGGAGACTCCACCACCTCTCTGGGCAGCCTCTGCCAGGGCTCTGCCACCCTCACAGGAAAGAAGTTCCTCCTCATATTGAGGTGGAACTTCTTATGGTCAAGTTTGCGCCTGGTTCCTCTTGTCCTGTCCCTGGGCACCACTGAAAAAAGACTGGCCCCATCCTCCTGACACCCACCCTTGAGGTATTTATAGGCCTTGATCAGATCCCCCCTCAGTCTTCTCTTCTCCAGACTCAAAAGACCCAAGAAGTCCCTCAGCCTTTCCTCAGCAGAGAGATGCTCCAGGCCCCTCCTCATCTTTGTAGCCCTCTGCTGTCCCCTCTCCAGCAGTTCCCTGTCCTTCTGGAACTGGGGAGCCCAGAACTGGTCCCAGTGCTCCAGCTGGGGCCTCCCCAGGGCAGAGCAGAGGGGCAGGATGACCTCCCTCCACCTGCTGGTCCCACTCTTCCTGATGCCCCCCAGGATGCCATTGGCCTTCTTGGCCACAAGGGCCCATTTTTGGCTCATGGTCACCCTGTTTGTCCACCAGGACTCCCAGGTCTTTCTTCTCAGAGCTGCTCCTCAGCAGGTCACCCCCAACCTGTCCTGGTGCAGGGGGTTATTCCTGGCACCACCCTGCACCTCCTCAGTCCAGGACCTCTTGGTTTGTCCCCATCCCACCACACCCCCAATTATTATTTAGCACTTAATGCAGAGGGGGGAAATATTTCTTTGATGGCACAGCTTCTTCTCTGGATATTTTTGTTCCTTGAGCATCAAACCAGGTGAAACCAGGCCTTGATGTCTTCGTTTTGCCGCCGTTCCTTCCCCCACGTCGTCTCTCTTCCCCTCCTCAGCCTTTCAAATCCAGCCCCTTCTACAAATATCCTTTTTTTTTGAGGGCCAAGACTTCCTATCCCTCGATGGGTTTGGTGCCTTCCAGAAGAGGAGGCTAATCTCCAGCGGGGTTATGAAACCAGCTCACATGCTTCAGTGGCATTACCCACTATTGATAGCGCCCTTCGGTCCCCGTTGAGCTCCCTTTGTCGGAGGTAACCCCTTCTCCTCCTTCTTCTAAGCTGATTTCTTAGGCCACATCATTCAAGTCCCACGTCCCTCGGGGTATTTAGATGTAGTAAAAATGACCGGGGTGGGGGGTGGGGGGATAAAAAGGGGCGGGTTGGGTGGAGAAATAAATGGCAGCCAGCGGGCCAACGAAACTGTCTGCCTATTAATGGTCCTGTTAGTTGCAAATTTCCTTTGCCACAAAGCCCCCAGCGTGTAATCCTGCCATGAATGCCTTTGATTGTGAGGGAATATTTACAGCTGACCCTGCCAGAGCAGCCTGCAAACCTGCGACGGGCCTCCTCCAGGGCCCACATTAAATCCCTTGGCATCTGTTCCCCCGGGGTTCTTATCCAGCCACATGCTCTCGGTGGGGCAGGGTTTGGGGCCTGGAGGAACGCTAATTCTCCTGGAGGTCGTCACGCAGGGAGGAACCTTAGGGTTTGGACCTGTCTCCGGGCGTCGCCGTCCACAGGGAGGTCTCCAGATGGCTTTGATCCACCACCAGTCGCCCCCTCCCCGTGGTAGGTCCACCCTTCACCAGGGGACAGTCTTCTTCTTGGCCACTCTTTTGTTGTGCCCGTTTCCCAGGCGTGCCTGAGTGGCATGAAGTGGTTTTTGGGAGGATTTTTATGTCAGTTCACCCCCACCCATGGCTTGAGTTTGTCTCCAGGTTGATCTGATTGAGCTTGTTGTATTTGGAGAGACCCTCATGTGATCACAGGGAACGTCTGGAGAGGGGACAGCAGAGGGTACAAAGATGATGAGGGGCCTGGAGCATCTCTCTGCTGAGGAAAGGCTGAGGGACTTCTTGAGTCTTTTGAGTCTGGAGAAGAGAAGACTGACGGGGGACCTGATCAAGGCCTAGAAATACTTGAAGGGTGGGTGTCAGGAGGATGGGGCCAGGCTGGGACCAGGTGAGGGGCCTGGAGCATCTCTCTGCTGAGGAAAGGCTGAGGGACTTCTTGAGTCTTTTGAGTCTGGAGAAGAGAAGACTGACCAAGGCCTACAAATACTTGAAGGGTGGGTGTCAGGAGGATGGGACCAGTCCTTTTTCAGTGGTGCCCAGGGACAGGACAAGAAGAAACAGGCACAAACTTCAACGTAAGAAGTTCCACCTCAACATGAGGAGGAATTTCTTCACTTTGAGGGTGGCAGAGCCCTGGCAGAGGCTGCCCAGAGAGGTGGTGGAGTCTCCATCTCTGGAGACATTCAAACCCCAACTGGACACGTTCCTGTGCAACCTGCTCTGGGTGGACCTTCTTTGGTAGGGTTTGGACTAGATGATTTTTCACTCTGAGGGTGGTGAGACACTGGAACAGGTTGCCCAGGGAAGTTGTGGATGCCCCATCCCTGGAGGGGTTCAAGGCCAGGCTGGATGGGGCCTTGAGCAACCTGCTCTAGTGGGAGGTGTCCCTGCCCAGGGCAGGGGGGTTGGAACTAGATGATCTTTGAGGTCCCTTCCAACCCTAACCATTCTATGATTCTATGATCTCCAAAGGTTCCTTCTAACCCCTTATCATTCTGATTCTGTGATCTTACCCCACTTCCAGCCACAGCAGAGCTGAAAAGCACAGGCTCAAAGCCAGGGAGAGCTCAGTGTCTCCTGACGCCTGTTCCCCGTGTCCAAGCGGACAAGTGTAATCCAGCAGCTTGTCATTCCCAGCACCTCCCATGGTACGTGAGGTGGATCCAGGCCACTTGGCTGCTTTGTGTGGGACAGAAGACCCAGCGGTGGGTGGTGGGCCTGCTCCATCCACTCTGCAGTCAAGGATCTTTAGGTCTGTGCCGAGGAATGACGTATATTTGCTCTCTTCTTACGCCTTTTACCCAAAGCCCACGCTTTTCTATCCAAGCTGGATGAATGCTGAGCATGTTTGGGCTTGAACATGGATTTGGAGCCGAGCCCGTTGGCAGGGCAGAGGTGCTGGGGTTGGCCAGGGGGATGTTTGCTTCTCCTCCTCTCTGAGGTCCTATTTTGGTGAGGGATGGGAGAAACGTCTGAGAAGATTCGTGATAACTTGACCTTTTGGATGCTGAACCCCAAGTGGCGCTTCTGTCTCAGGAATCCTACATCCAGGAAAGGGAAAAGATTAAAAAATGAATAAATTACTAACACTCCCCTGTGTTTTTTTAAATGGATCCTGGAGCTCCACTCCAGAGAGGAGTTTGGGGGGCAGCTGTTTGATTTAGGGATCGTTATAGAGTGTGTATCCTTCTCCACATGCTTTTTTCTTCAAATCTGCAGGAAATGGATCCTGGAGCTCCACTCCAGAGAGGAGTTTGGGGGGCAGCTGTTTGATTTAGGGATCGTTATAGAGTGTGTATCCTTCTCCACATGCTTTTTTCTTCAAATCTGCAGGAATATTTGGCCCGAGTGTGGAGTGGATGTTGAAGGACCATCAGTGAGACGTACTCAACGTTGGGGCTGCAGTCAGGAGGAGACTGTAAGAACTGGGAGAGTGGGCAGCAGCTCTCCTGCCTGCTTAGAGGGGTCTGTCTTTGGGCTCATTTCTGGTCATTAGCAGCTGAGGAAGGAGAGGAAGGACGTGGACCTGTTGGAATGTGTCCAGAGGAGGCCATGGAGATGCTGGGAGGGCTGGAGCCCCTCTGCTGTGAGGACAGGCTGAGAGAGTTGGGGGGGGTTCAGCCTGGAGAAGAGAAGGCTCCAGGGAGACCTTAGAGCCCCTTCCAGTCCCTCAAGGGGCTCCAGGAAAGCTGGGGAGGGATTCTTGGTCAGGGATGGGAGCCACAGGATGAGGGGGAATGGTTTTAGGTTGAAAGAGGGGAGATTAAGATGAGATAATTGCAAGAACTTGTTTGCTGTGAGGGTGGTGAGAGCCTGGCCCAGGTTGCCCAGAGAAGCTGGGGCTGCCCCATCCCTGGAGGGGTTCAAGGCCAGGTTGGAGAGGGCTTGGAGCAACCTGGTGTGGTGGGAGGTGTCCCTGCCCAGGGCAGAGGGTTGGAACTGGATGATCTTTAAGGTCCCTTCCAAACCATTCCATGATTCTATGAAGATGGAAAAGAATGAGATGTCCCTGAGGATATTGGTCCCCCAGGCTCCGCTTCACCCTCTGGCCATTTATTCCTAATTGCCCAATTTCTCCCATTTATTGTGTCTATTGAGTGCGTGGATCTTATTAGAAAGAGTCAGTGGCTCTGTCATTAATTAAGAAAAGCTCGGGGCATTTCTTAGTACTTTGAACTCGTGTTCCTGCCTATGATGTACAGACATTGCTGATATTCATCCCAGGAACTCCCCGTCCAAGGACAGACAGACAGACTAAGGTCAGGGCAGAGGCAAAACAAGAGGCTTTGTCTGCACAGGTCGGTTTTAGGCTTTGAAGAACAAGGGTGATATTTTCCAAGCAGAGCACAACATGGGGGTACAAGCAGAGACCTGCAGGACAGGGGAGCAGTGGAGCTTTGGTGGGGGATAGGGGTGCAGGATCCCATTGACCACCTTCTTTCCATTCCAAAAGCAATTCCACGGCCCCTTCACAGAATCACAGAATCTTCTAGGTTGGAAGGGACCTCAAAGATCATCTTGTCCAACCATCAACCTAACTGACAAAAATAGACACCCACACAACAAACAAGGAGCATCATCACTAAACCATACCTCCCAGCACTACATCAACCCGTCTTTTGAACACCTCCAGGGATGGTGCCTCAACCACCTCCCTGGGCAGCCCATTCCAATGCCTGATAACCCTTTCAGTGAAAAAATGTTTCCTAATATCCAGCCTGAACCTCCCCTGGTGTAACTTGAGGCCATTTCCTCTCGTCCTGTCGCCTGTGACTTGAGAGAAGAAACCGACCCCCATCTCTCTACACCCTCCTTTCAGGGAGTTGGAGAGAGCAAGAAGGTCTCCCCTCAGCCTCCTCTTCTCCAGGCTGAATAACCCCAGCTCCCTCAGCCTCTCCTCATAAGACTTATTCTCCAGACCCCTCACCAGCTTTGTCGCCCTTCTCTGGACCCGCTCCAGCACCTCAATGTCTTTTTTATGGTAGGGGGCCCAAAACTGGACACAGTTCCACCCGCCCCTCGGCTGTGCATCTCCACACCCTGAAGGTCCAACACCTGACCGAGTCACGGGGTGGCCTGTGGCCGTGGGATGGGGTGGAAGCTGGAGTTGGGCTACCTACAGGAGCAAATGCCTGCCGCAGCCTTGCCCAGAGGTCCCCTACCCATCATATGACCTTCCTGAGCACCGGCATGTGACTGGGCCCTGCGCTCTGGAAAAGAGCAGGGAGAAGAGAGGAGAAGGTGGAGAGGGGGAGGGCAGCTCCTTTAGAGAGGATTAGGAAGGGTGGACAGAGAGGGAGAGCTTTGAAAGTGGGGGGGCTTGAGGCAGAGTGGGCCCGATGGCCAAGGGGGAGGTAGGTGGATGATTGGGGAAGGGAGCGAGCCGGGAGGGAGGGATGACCTTAGAGGTGACATTTGGGATCAAAGCGGGGAAATCTGCTCTTTGTCAGAGCAGAAACTTGGGGAAAATCTGTGGGAGTCACAGAATCACAGAATCACAGAATCTTAGTGGTTGTAAGGGACCTCTGAGATCATCGAGTCCAACCACAAAAAAAAAACCAACAAAAAAAACCCCCAAAAAAACCAACCCAAAAAAACACACCACACCAAACGCCCACCAAAAACACCGCACCCACCAACTAAACCCCACACTCAACACCTCACCATAAACCAATAACCTTGGGCACTAGAGCATGCCCTGAAGAGCCATGTCTATACGTTTCTTAAATACCTCCAGGGATGGTGACTCCACCACCTCCCTGGGCAGGCTGTTCCAGGGCCTGACCACCCTCTCAGTAAAGTAGTTCTTTCTAATATCTAATCTAAATCTCCCCTGCCCCAACTTCAGACCATTTCCTCTGGTCTTGTCGTTCGTCCTTTGGGAGAAGAGGCCAACACCTGCCTCTCTACACCCTCCTTTCAGGTAGTTGTAGAGGGCAATGAGGTCTCCCCTCAGCCTCCTCTTCTCCAAACTAAACATGCCCAGTTCCCTCAGCCTCTCCTCATAGGACTTGTTCTCCAGGCCCCTCACCAGCTTGGTGGCTCTCTTCTGGACACGCTCCAGCACCTCAATGTCTTTCCTGTAGTGAGGGGCCCAAAACTGAACACAGCACTCGAGGTGAGGCCTCACCAGTGCCGAGTACAGAGGCACGATGACTTCCCTACTCCTGCTGGCCACGCTATTCTTGGTACGAGCCAGGATGCCATTGGCCCTCTTGGCCACCTGGGCACACTGCTGGCTCATGTTAAGCCTGCTGTCTACCAACACCAAGTGAGGATAGGAAGGGACCAACACAGAAACTATGCGCCGGGATGGTAAATGAAAATGTTAGAAGGGTCACCACGGACATGAAGTTTAGAAAGTAGGAGATGTTCAGGGCTGTAGCTTCTCACCATGAACAGAAAATCCTGGGTGGAGTTTTTGCACAGGTTGTGTTAATAAGCATCATCCATCCTCCATTTTCCAGGATCTGAGCAGATCTCTCTCTCTTCAGAACAGAAAAGGGCTGCAGAGGTGACAAAGATGGGTCCTACCTGCGAGGAGAGTTCCTGGCTCTGGTCCCTCCGTGGGGCAACTGTCAGAGGGGAGGTGGAGCTGCAGGAACCCCTGGAAGAGAAGAACAGGTTTGATTGTGGTTTATCAGCTGATTTAGAGGGACTCTTTGATGAGCCACAGAAAGATAAAGGCAGGTAATAACGGAGGAGAGTTCCTCGACCCGTTTTGGTTAGGAGCTACGACGCAACAAACCCAACAGTTGGGGTTTTTAAGACTTCCAAGGATGGAAGTATCAAAATTAAATTCAAATCCCAGGGTCACCTCTCCCTGGGTTCAACCATCCTCAAAAAACAAAAAAAGAAAAAAATAGGTTTCGACAGAATTCCCAGTATTTTAAGTTGCGGACGCAAACCGTGGGCAATATCCCTGATTCCAGGGATATTTTGGGTTTCTTTAACCAAAAGCAGGTTTCAAGCTGTATTTCTTGGTCGGGAGCCAGACAGGTCAGAGCAAACACAAGCCCAGGGGCTCAAGTGATCCCAAACGGCGGTTACGATCAGGCACTTACACCGTGTCTTTATTTACTTGCTTTACTCATCGAAGGCGATTGGCCGCCGGCAAATTAAAGCCAGGACCCGGGTGTCAGAGACCTGCACCACCTACGTAAATGGTTTGTTGGCCAGAAGTTCCCCCAAATAAACACCAACTTGGGCTACAAGGTTATCTAATCACACGGGAGGTTTATTTTATGGGTGATTCCCTCCTAACTGGGCGCGCAGGGGGGGTGGATGAACCCGTAGCTCCGGGACGACGTGCCAAAAAACAAAAAGGTTGAGTATGAAGACAATCTCACCGATTGCTGTGGGGTTGTTGGTTGGGTTTTGGACAACCTGCCAAAAACAAAAGGTTGAGTATGAAGACAATCCCACCGATTGCTGTGGGGTTGTTGGTTGGGTTTTTTTTTTGGGTTGGAGCAGGTCCTGTGCCTGCTGCGTCACGCTTCTGCGGCGGTGACGGTGAGGACAGATAGTCAGCTGGGGTGACGCTGAGCTCCTGAGGCTGTTTCCTCACCCCTGGAAGAGGAAAAGGCCTGTTTTCCTTATCCCTGCACAGGAGAAGTGAATAGACAGAGTAGCTGATCTCTGCTTGTAAAGAATTGTCTATGTTTTAGGACAAGGAATCAAAAGAATTCCAGGAATATAGAACATAATTGAGCTCTTTAAGTGATAGAGGCAGAATTACCAATGCAGAGCAAATGTCCTATGGTGTCTTGTCCTGTTGATGATGGTCACTCATAGAATGATAGAATGGTTTGGGTTGGAAGGGACCTTAAAGACCATCCAGTTCCAACCCCCTGCCCTGGGCAGGGACACCTCCCACCAGACCAGGTTGCTCCAAGCCCCCTCCAACCTGGCCTTGAACCCCTCCAGGGATGGGGCAGCCACAGCTTCTCTGGGCAACCTGGGCCAGGCTCTCACCACCCTCCCAGCAGAGAATTTCTTCCTAAGATCTCATCTAAATCCCCCCTCTTTCAGTGTCAAACCCTTCCCCCTCCTCCTAGGGCTCCCCTCCCTGATCCAGAGTCCCTCCCCAGCTTTCCTGGAGCCCCTTGAGGGACTGGAAGGGGCTCTAAGGTCTCCCCGGAGCCTTCTCTTCTCCAGGCTGAACCCCCCCAACTCTCTCATCCTGTCCTCACAGCAGAGGGGCTCCAGCCCTTGGAGCATCTTTGTGGCCTCCTTTGGCCCTGCTCCAACAGGTCCATGTCCTTCCTGTGCTGAGGATTCCAGAGCTGGATGCAGCACTCCAGGTGGGGTCTCTTGGTGCGGCAGCTTTCTTGAAGGCTGGAGAGCTTTCAGCATTTCCAGCTCCAGCACTCAAGCTGGTTTCAATTTAAAATGAATATTGGGCGCTTTTGTCTTTGAGATTTTTCTGCTGAACCATTAGGAACAAGCAACCCATTTGTATGCAATTTTGTGAATGACAGTTAATATCCCCACATAACCCTTGGGCTGCAAAAAACCGGGTCTGGGAGATAAATGCCAAGAAATCTACAACAAGAAAAAAAAAAAAGAGGACTTGGCTTTGGTTCCTGTGCAAAGAGCAGGTCAAGCCCCCTCCTGTAGCACAGCGGATGTACGGGATTAGGGGTATGAAGATGATGAGGGGCCTAGAACATCTTTCTGATGAGGAAAGGCTGAGGGACTTGGGGCTTTTGAGTCTGGAGAAGAGAAGACTGAGGGGGGATCTGATCAAGGCCTAGAAATACTTGAAGGGTGGGTGTCAGGAGGATGGGGCCTGTCTTTTTTCAGTGGTGCCCAGGGACAGGACAAGAGGAAATGGGCACAAACTTGAATATAAGAAGTTCCATCTAAACATGACTGCCCTGGCCAGTCTCTGCAGCTCTCCTCTCCCTCTGGCCAGGAGGGATGGTGGCTATCGAGGGTGTTGGGCGATTGCCACTTAGGATGACATTTGGCTTGGCAATCCAAGTAGGACTGATAAGGCTGCTTGTTTATTCCAAGCTAAATCCACAAAAAGACACATGCCATAAAACATTCCTGCACCCATAAGCACCCCGCTGCCTGCCAGGCTCTTCCAGGGCTGGTTAAATGAAAGCAACCTCCTTCCAACCCCAGGAGCAGGTCCAGAGGTGAGGTGTGAAACCACCTCATTGCGGGCTGCTTGGCCAAAAACCTGCAGCTGCCTCACAGGAGAAGGTAGAAATCATTGCTGTCCTTGTGTCTCCCCCAAGGATGAGAGCAAAGTAGAGGAACGGTTCAGGTCTGACCACACTTGCATCTTTGCTTTCAATGCCTGCTGAGAACGTGAGGGCTTCCTGGGGCTGTTTAGGCTGGAGAAGATGAGACTTAGAGGGGTTCTGATCAATGCTGAGGAGTATCTAAAGGGTGGGTGCCAAGAGGATGGAGTCAGGCTCTTCTCAGTGGTGCCTGGTGACAGGACAAAAAGAAATGGGCACAAACTGGAACATAAGAAGTTCCACCTCAACATGAGGAAGAACTTCTTCACTTTGAGGGTGGCAGAGCCCTGGAAGTGGCTGCCCAGGGAGGTGGTGGAGTCTCCTTCTCTGGAGACATTGAAAACCCTCCTGGACATGTTCCTGTGGGACCTGCTCTGGGTGACCCTGCTTTGGCAGGGGGTTGGACTAGATGATCTCCAGAGGTCCCTTCCAACCCCATATCATTCTGTGATTCCTGGGCATGCACAGCACAATCACCAGGGCTGGGTGGTACAGACAGGGGAGCTGAGAGGGCTGGCACCAGAGGACTTTAAGGTAAAGTCCTACAGAGTTGAGATTCCAGTAGGATTGGGATGCAGCTGCCTCCTACACAGGAGCTTTCAGGACTATGATTTCCGACTTCCGTGCCTACATTTTCTGCCTAGGACCCCAAAACTCTATTTGAGTCAGCTCAGGCCAGCTAAATATCCAAGGCAGCTGGCGCACCGGGGGGAATAATCTGGGTAAACCTCAAGAAGGGCACATGCTCAGCTGCCTCAGCCCTGATCTCGGCACCAGATAGGGGCCGGGCTGCCGCTGAAGAGCAGTTGTTAACCTCCCAACAAAGAGGAGAACATGCTTCTCATTTCCTGACACCATCCGCAGTGGCTCTACCTACCTCTGCACTTCCACCTCCGCCGGCCCTCGGCGGCCGATCATAAACAGTTCCACGTGTCGGGGAAACAGAAAACGTAAGTAACAGGAAAAGGTGCCCTGTTTGTTTTGGATTTGTTTGAGGAACGCAACGACTATGTGATAATTCCAACCACGTGTCAACGACTTACGTTTCAGAGCCCTCTCTCCCAGCTTTCCCCAAATGTCTTGTTGCTTCTGTGCTCTGCTGCGGGTAAAGGTGCTTCCTGTGGAATGCTGGATTCCCACATGGAGAGAGACGTGGAGGAGAGGGCAGAAATGATGAAGGAGGGGAGTTGGATTCACGTGGGCTGCGAGAGGAGATCCCCACAGCGCGGTGGGGAAGGCCATGGGGAGTGCTTGAGGACCTCCGCTTTTGCCAGTTGTAATTTGTTGCATCTGGCAACTTAGTGCTCTTGGAAACTGTCCTCGTTCCATAGGAGAGTTTTGGGAGTCATCTCTGAGATCTTTTTTTCCATATTTATTGTTTCCTCGAAGCCATGAGCCCCCAGAGGGTCATGCTGAAAAAAAAAAAAGCATCTTGAGTCTCTCAAAATAAGCATCCGCAACCGAAAGCTACCGTGTGTTCTTGTAAGTGTGGGCTGTTAATTCTCTTTTTTTTCATAGGAACCTCATATATAAAAAGAAGAATTAATATTTGCCCACATCCCAGCAGGTTTCTCTGCTTTGAGATCGGTGCTTAGAAATTCCTAAGTGGAGGCTTGGCAGAAAGCTCCTCCTTGAAAGCAAAATAAAAAGGCACCTTTTAAGGCAGGTAAACGGAGAGCGGCAGAGTCAGAATTAGAGCTCCACGCTTTCCAGGCATGTAAATATTTGTGATAGTTCAAATATTTTCCTCTTCCCATCAGGGTGAAATCTTAGCTTCAAAGCTTTGGGGTTTTTTAAGCGCTAAACAAGAAGTCCATAAATAGCCTCGTGGTCAGAGCGTTTTCACGGGCGCTAAGTTCTTCCTCTTCTTTCTAAAGGCAGAGTGGAACCCAGAGTCTCTGGTGCCTGGAGGTGCCTCCACACCAGGCTGCTGGCCCCTCGGGAAGATCCTTTCTCTTTTTTTTTTCCACTCTCTCAAACTTTTCTCCAGGAGCCTTTTGCTGGAGCCGGGGGGGGGGGGCCCCCTTTGAGG